TCCCCCCCCTCCTCTCCCCCCTCCTCTCCCCCCTTAGGCCGCCGCCACTTCCCGCGGGAGACCATATAGTCAGCCAGTGAGCCCATCGGTCTGTTAGTCAGCCTGTCTGTCTGTCTGTCTGTCTGACGTACCCGGGCTATGGAGATATTAACACGGACATCCTGGGATGGGGTTAGGGAGGGGGAAAGGGAGGGGGAAAGGGAGGGGGAAAGGGAGGGGGAAAGGGAGGGGGAAAGGGAGGGGGAAGGAGGCGGAGGGGGATACACTGGTCGGATTTACTCGAAGTAAAATGGAAAATGGGGACATCACGGACCTTCAAGAATTAAGTGTGGGCGCCGAGCCCCGCGGAAACCACCAACAACCAACGGTCAACCCCCCCCCCGCCCTTCCACAATCGTGTCCATGTCCCTAGGCATGTGATCTAGTTAAGGGAGTTCACAGTAACCACCTCCTAACCTCCAAAAACAACGGCCAACACCAACCGACATACGCGTTCCCAACCCGCGGCCAAAGACACAAGCCACAAATAACGACGAGCCTGCAACGACCAACGGGACAACGACCAACCACCAACGGCCCTCATCCACCCGCGCCTTCCTTCCCTCCCCTCCTGCTTTTCCTGCCTGTCTATCTGTCTGTCTGTCTGTCTGTCTGTCTGTCTTATGATATGTGGGACAGGGGGGTCATATCTTCAACCTGCGGCCGCTACCCGGCAAACCCTGCCTTCCCCGGTATTTCGGGGCACCCTCATCCAGTCACCCTAGTCAACTTCTCAGTGGATCGCTCAGGTTCCGCACCCACCACCAGCATCCAACGGAATCTGCCGGGTCGACATCGGCCCAACTCCATTCCTGGTCGGCTCGCAGGTTAACTTTATCCCAGGTCACCACCGTCCATCAACTAGGGGCGCAATGCCCTTCACCATCGGAAGGACTTTTAACCCTAACGGGTATCGATCCCGGGATCTCCGGGGGCATAAGTACGTGCTCTACCAGTACTGCCTGACCGTCTGTCTGTCTGTCTGTCTGTCTGTTTATCTGTCCGTCTGTCTGTCTATCTGTCTGTTTGCCTGTCTGTCTGTCTGCTAACCTCGCTCACCAGCAGTGCGGGGACCTGATATGTGGGTGCTCCCGAGGAGAAGACCAGCGGCGGCAACCACAACACCAACAGCAGAGCCACCAGGGCGAGGAAGCCCTGGCAGGGGGAGGGGGGGAAGGAGGGGAAGACAAACCACGTGAACGAGTGAAGCTGCTGCCAAGGAAAGAGTGTACAAGAAGCCGAGCTGACCAGTAGGAGGGGGGAAGGAGGGGAGGGGAGAAAAATAAAATCAAAAGGGAAAGCAATTGCGACAAGTCCAATATTGCAAACTGCTGTCGGTGTCCAAAACGATGACTCAACGACTCTCTGTGAATACAATCTGCACCGACATGTTTGCGCAGTAAAAAAAGACAAAGGTTATAAAAGGTCGTGCTGTACCCTAGGTAACCGTACAGGGGACGTGGAGTACGGGTCGTACTGGATTCACCCACCCTTCTTCCACCCCCCTTACAGATGCTCACTTATGATGTACGTCCTGTTCATGACCGCACCTGCAGGAATTTGACGTATCTGGGAACTCGCTCACCGAGACGACGACCCTTGCGATCCCTGCGATGGGAAGTTGGTAGTTAGGTAGTTGGCCGTTGGAGGTGGTTAAAGAGCATGGTTGAGGAGGGGCCTGGTCGAGGGGGCCCGAAAATTGGAACGGGTAATGAAACGGAATGAGGTCACGTCTCGCGGTTAGCGGTTAGCGGGAGGAGACGTGGCGAACTGTAGGTGACGTGGGTGAGGGCGGGCACACGAGGGCACTTACCTGCCGTACTTGCACCGCACTGAGACGTACATACTACAGCGACACAAACACATCAATGTTCACCTGAAATACTGTAGTTCGCGAAGAGGCGTGTGTGTATGTGTGTGTGTGTGTGGTGGTGGTGGTGGTGGGTGGCTGGGTGGGGGAGGTAGCTACCGCACGGGATCTGCGGTCAGGCCAGTCAGCCCTAACGACCGGTACGACAAACGAACAACCGACTATCTAACCACCCACACCAACACCCAAGTGATGTCACTCGCTTGTTCCTGCATGTGGCGATGAAGAGGCTTGAGCGAATATCCTCCAGCTTAAGCCAGCTGTACCAGTCCATGGAGGTGCTGACGCACGTCCAGTCGAGCAGTGTACGGATCTCGTACAGGAACGGCACTGCGTGGTGGAAAAGCGCGGGGGGGGATGGGATAAGTTGTCATACACAAGCACATCGCGCTCAGCAGGCACGCTAAGCCCAGTCGAGCGGGGGAGGAGAGGACGTCCGCCCCCCCCCTCCCTCAGGCTTTTACGGACGCCTCTTCTTTTCCCCCCCCCTCAAATAC